CTGGAGAGCAATGGTGCAATCTCAGCTCAATGCAACCTCTGCCTCCTGGGTTCAAGCAATTCTCCTGCCTCAGCCTCCTGAGTAGCTGGGACTACAGGCATGTACCACCATGCCCAGCTAATTTTGTATTTTTAGTAGAGACAGGGTTTGACCATATTGGTCAGGATGGTCTCAATCTCCTGACCTCGTGATCTGCCTGCTTCAGCCTCCCAGAGTGCTGGGATTACAGGCATGAGCCACCACGCCCAGCCCTCCTTGTAGTTTTTATTCATTTATCCATTCAATTGCTCAACAAAAATTAATTTCCCAGTCTGTTGCTAACTGGCTGTATAAGGCTGGACTAGTCACTCCCCTCCCTGAAGCTCTGTCAATAACATGGGAACAAGAAATCATGGTCGGGGGAAAGAATGAGGCCCTATGAATGGCCAGATCATCCCTCTTATTCGGGGCCATAACAGGCACTGTGATTCCCAGGCTGTCCCAGGTATGTGGCACTGACAGGACAATGGCGGGATCCCGGGATACCTGATGTGGGAGAGCCGGTGCTCTGGAGTCTGGGTGAGGGGTGAGACTCTGCTTGTTTCTGAGCCCACAAAGCCACTGTCTGTCTCCGGGAATGCCATCCAGGGCTCCTGAAAGAGGCAGTATCCCTTTATGTCTGTGGAAGTTCCCCAAGGCGGCCTGGGAAGCCCTTCCCAAATCCTGGCCTGGGCCTCACCTCCCAGAGGCTCATGCATCAAGGAGGCTGGCCGACCTCCCAGCAGCCAGGCTCTGGGGTGAGGGCCCTCAGGCTCTCAGGCCCCAGCACAAGAATCTGGCTACCAGCAGGGACTCCACACCCCAGGAGGACCCTGAGCGAGTCTTGCCTCCCTGAGGAGTGGCAGCCAGAGCCCTTGGGAGAGACAGAGCCGTGGACAAGGACTAGCAAGGGAGAGGGAGAAAGCCTTATTTCCCGTGTCTCCTGGCTCAGGCCCAAGGCATTGGAAAAACAAAACCATCAAATATGCACAGGTCCTACCCACTGGGTTTCATGAACAGCACAAAGAACACAAACAGCAACACGTGTGCCTGCCCTCGGTGAGTTCACATCTAGTGCAGAAATTCCTGACCATGGGCTCATTAGGACTACAGAAGCGTGTGTGTGCGTGTTTGTGCGTGCGTGCACATGAATGTACATATATGCATTATTGTATGACAGTCACATTTCCATCATGGTCTGTGACTTTGCGGCAGTGATCTCTGCTCTAAAGGGTGTAGAACTCCCCAGCTGTGATGAGCAGGCTCAGGGACGTACAAGCAACGGGCTCCAAGCTCTCAGAGGAGGAACAAGAGCTCTGGAAGAGCGACAGGATGTGGGTGGCATTGGGCATAAGTCCTGCATGTCAGGTGGGATTGTGGCTGGCAGGGAGGGACAGCAGCAGTAGGTATTCCAAGAAGGAAGAGCACAAGGAAAGACCCAGAAGCAGAAAGTTGACGCTCTGGGCCCATTCCCCCACGGGGAGACTTACCTCCAGGTGGGGCCCACCGGCTTGGTGCAAAGACTTCTGTGCAAGGCGCTCAGAAATGCCACTTTCCTCCAGGCTGGTCATACTACTTTGGTGGGATGCTGCAGACTTGGTGCCCGGAGGGTGGGGTGCCCTAGCATGGGGTGGCATGCTAGGGCCTGGAGGGGCTGCCTCAGCCTTGCCCAGGCCTGACATGTGCCCGTCTCTGGCCAGGGATGTCTGGAAACCTGGTGGCTTCACAGATTCCATCTGCTCTGTGGCCTCCCTGGCATGGGAGAGAAGAGCATCATCCCTGAGTTCTGCCGCAGGCCAGGCAGTCCTGAAGTGGGGATTGGCCTGTCTTGGGAGCCAAGCAGTCCAGAGCACAAGCTCCAGAGTCAGACACCCCTGGCTGCCCAGCCTGGTTCTGCCACCCCTCTAGCTGTGTGTCCTAGGGCAAGGCACTTCCCCTCTCTCGACCTCACTTTTCTCAACTGTAAAATGTGGATGCCAACAAAACCCACCCAATACACCACGGAGGGAATGCTAAAGCAGCATTTCCCAGACTTGAGGAGTTTACCATCTTCCCTATTTCATCCATTTCCATAAACTTCCAGCCACTCAAAAGATTTTAGATCACTATTAAAAACAGAAGATCGGGGCTGGGTGCACTGGCTCACGCCTGTAATCCCAGCACTTTGAGAGGCTGAGGCAGGTGGATCACCTGAGGTCAGAAGTTCAAGACCAGACTGACCAGCATGGAGAAATCCCATTCTACTAAAAATACAAAAATTAGCTGGGCATGGTGGCAGGTGCCTATAATCCCAGTGACTTGGGAAGCTGAGGATGGAGAATTGCTTGAACCCAGGAGGTGGAGGTTGCAGTGAGCCGAGATCACGCCACTGCACTCCAGCCTGGGTGACAGAGCGAGACTCCAACTCAAAAAAAAAAAAAACCAAAAAACAAAAAACACAAAACCCAAAACAGAAGATCGGTGTGTTATGTGACAAATAGAAACTAACTTTGAGGATAAATACAAGAAACCTGAACATTATCATATACTACATAGATTCATTCATTTGCCTGCTACAGGTTCTAGGCATGAGGGCGGCTTGCATGCTTTCACTCTCATCTCTCTCTTTTTCCACAGAAGATCGAGAGAGGCATTAAAGTCATCACAGCACTAACTGAGACTTTCTCCTTTGTATCATTAGAAGGTCAGAGATAGAAAAGGAGAATAATATTTTTTTTCTTTTTTTTTGAGATGAGGTCTCACACTGTCACCCAGGCTGGAGTGCAGTGGCCCGATCTCAGCTCACTGCAACCTCCGCCTCCTGGGCTGAAGAGATCCACCTACTTCAGCCTCCCAAACAGCTGAGACTATAGGGGTGTACCACCATGCCTGGCTACTTTTTGTATTTTTTTGTAGAGATGAGGTTTTGCCATTTTGCTCAGGCTGGTCTTGAACTCCTGGGCTCAAGTGATGCACCTGCCTTGGCTTCCCCTAGTGCTGGGATTACAGGCATGGGCCACTGTGCCCAGCTGAGAATACTGTTCTTTAGAGCTGCATCTGTCTTACTGAAAATCATGTCCCACACTACCCAAAATCACTTCAAGGGCTATCAGTGGTAAACACTCCACACCACGAAGAGGCAGGACGGGAAGCCATGTGTAAACTGCGAAGTGCTGCCTTACTCACTCTGACAGTGGTCACCCCTGTGGTTTTAGGGTGGAACTGGACATTCTGCAGGAAAGGCTCAGCGACTTACTCCAGGGGAGCCCCATGACTTTTCTCAGCCTGCACCAGGCACTGCCTTGGGAGGACCCCGGTGGCCTCTGCCTTCCCTGAAGCTGCAGCCACCCCATCAACTTCCAAGGAGTCGCCTCCCTCCTCCTCCTCCTCTTCCTCGCCTTCTTCCTCCTCCTCCATCTTCACGGCTTCCGGGAGAGACTTCACACCGAGGGACCTGCAGAAGAACACATAGAGGGGCATGACCTCTGCCCAGTGGGGGACCACCAAGATCCAGCTGCTGGCCGGACACCACAGTCAGGTCCAGGTGGCACTCACCGCTCCAAGAGGCCATGGAGAACTTGCTCCGTCTGCAGCTCCTTGTCCCTGAGTGGGGCCGGGGGGTCCTGCAGCCTGTCCTCCACCTCATTGTTGCCAGAGCTCACCTCGACATTCACATGCAGTGGGTAGGGGCCAGTGCTGGCGGCAGCAGTGGTGGTGGCAGGCTGGGGTCAGAGAGATGGAGGGGCAGAGATTCAGCAGATACTTCAACACTACTTTTAAGCACCTACCTCCTGCCAGGCTCACACTGGGGGCTGAAGAGTAAGAAGCACATTAGACTCACTACGCCCACCACCCTTTCATGTGTATGTAAACTATGGGGACTGGGCTGTGTGGTCTTCCATACTGGCTGCCATGAATTGAGCACCTACTATGTGCCAAGCACCATAGAGATATCACATCACAACACCACCAGTACCTACAATTATCACAACCCATTTTACAGACAGGTAACTCACGCTCAAATGATTTGCCCAAAGTCAACAGAAACAAGGAGCAGAGTTGAGATTTGAACCTAGATTTCCTGCCAGAGTCAACACTCCTGACCCCCATCCATTCCAGTGTAGCCACCACAGCCCCCTGCAATACCTTCACTGCAGAGCACAAGGGTCCCTCAAGATAAGGTACTCAGGTTTTCTCCCCATTCATGCATGTAGTGATGCCTGGTAGAGTCTTCCTACCCTCTAGGACAGAGCACCGCATAAGATTTTCCCCAAACCATGGGGCCAGTAAGACCTCAGCTGTCAGGGATGTCCTACCAGAGTCCCACCCTACCCAGCATGCTGGGCTCTCTCTCCTGCTTCCATCCCCAACAGCCAAGTCTTTGCAGCACAGGCAACAGGAGCTGAGAGGCATAGAGACCCCACCACTGCCAGCTGTGTCAACGCACTACATTCAGCTTGCTTGTCTGCAAAACAGAGATAGTGGTTGTTTCTCAGGGGGTCGTGGTGTGGGCCGGAGAGACTCCTACAAAGCCCCTTTCGTGTTGGGCTCTTGTCTAGGCTTCACCCCATCATCTGTGCTGTACTACAAGCTAGAATTGGGAGCCATCTGTGTGTCCCTTCCCTCTCACAGCCGCTCCAAGTCCACTCAAACATGCCTTCCCAACCTGTCTCAAATCCACATGTGCTTCTCCATTTGCCCTGCCACCTACCCAGCCTCAGACTGGCCTACCCACTAGTCATCTTATGTCATCCCCCACCAGAAAACCCAGCAGAGTTTAAGACCACGCTCTCTATGTGACCCACCAGACCCTACATCATGGGGTCCCCTCCTGCCTCTCCAGCCACATCTCAGACTATTTTCCCTTCTCTTCCCATACTCTAGCCACAGGGCCTTTGCACAGGCTGTTTTCCCTGCTGGATGGCTTTTCTCTTTCTGTCTCTGGTAATTCCTATTTAGCCTCAGGTCTCCTTTAAACATGACTTCTTCAGGGAAAGTTTCTCTGACCTTCTCCTCAAACTCAATCATGTTACTCCCGCTATCTACTCTCACAGAACCCCATAATTCTCCTTCAGTGAAGCAATAATTATAACTAAATCACTGTCACTAGTTCAACTCTGCAGGAAACTGTGAAGGTAGAGGCCACCTTCCCCACCACCTCCCATCCCACTGAGTCCCCACCATGTGTCATGGGTCCTGGCATATGGTACACATTTCATAAATATGCAATATGTACTGAAGAAATTAATTAATGAAGAAATGAATGCACAGGGGAACAGCCCAATATGGTTGAGCAAAGAGGTACCTCACAGCGGGAGGTCTTGATGGCTGGCGTAGGGGCTTGTCCGGAAGAAGCCGGCAGGTGCTTTGGCTGGTGGGGGTAGGGCAGGGCTGGGGAGCTGTCCAGAGCTGAGTCTGACTGGGGCAGCTCAGGCTCTTGCTGGGTCTGGTCTATGTGTTCCTTCAGCTCTTCCAGGCAACTTCCCAGACGGTAAATCTCTGCCTCCAGCTCCCTGGAATGCAGAAACATCAGTGCCAGGAGCCCAAGATGGCAGCCCCATCAGGCAGGTCTGGGAGAGAGTGTCAGAGCAGGGACTCCAGGGGTTGGCCCTTTGGGGTCCATTTAGCATCAGCCTTTAGATGGTCAGAACTCAAAATAAATAAACAAGATGAAAGAATGTTCCACTGGGAATCAGGAGGCCTCAGTCCAAGTCCCCTCTGCCATCCACAGGCTGTGGGAATTTAGATAAACCCCACTCCCCTCTAGCCTCAGTTTCCCCATAGTCCAACAAGGGTTTCAGCTCTTATTGCCAAGGGGTCTTCTCAGCACATGAGTCCAAAGGGCTCAAATCTCAGCTTCTGAGTGTGCCACCATTTGGATGTGTTGCTAATTAGGATAGGTTTTGTCTCTGTTCCCTCGTGTATAAATCATAAGGACAAAGTGTCTCCCTCCTGGAGACTGAGGGACTCCAGGGACCCCTCCCATCTGTCCTTCTAGGCCTTCCTCCCCAGCAGGTACCTGCCAGGATCAAATCTCCCAGGCGTCCCCATGGAGCCGGCAAGTGGCTGGTCAGCGAGTTGCTCCCGGCAGGCCTTCAGGTACTCCTCCTCCAGGGCTGCGTGGGCAGCCTTCAGCCGCAGGAAGCCCTGAAACCAGACCAGGCCAGGAAGACTTGAGTGCTCAGCACCCCCAGGGCCTGTCCCTGCAGACACAGTGGATGAGGCAGCTTGCGGGAGGCCATGGGAGGCGCCTGGGCCCCTGAGTTCATGCAAGATACAGTCTGGGGTTGAGAACTCTGGAGGCTGCTTGCTTTGAAGAGCTGCCATGGCCAAGCTCTCTGTCATCAGACTGGCACAACAGAGACACCACTTAGAGTCTTGGCACCAGCTTCAGAGGGCACCAGCCCTTCCTGGGTAGACTTACAAGGACCCCAAAGTACCACAAACTGTCATAGCTGTCACAGCGTCAAATATACTCTCACTATATCTCCGTAAGGACCTACTACTTGAGAGACTCTGGATCCTCATTCTTGATTTACAGAACTGTGGGCTTCAGAAAATTAGCCACTCTTTCCCCAAATTCTTACAGATTATCAACACAGATAATGTTATCATCACCATCGCATGATAGAGCTTACTGAGCACTGAGGCTCTGTGCTAAAGCACTTTGCATTTATTTCACCTTCAATATAATCGTCATGAGAAGGGTAATTTATCATCTTCATTTAAAAAGAATGAAACTGAGGCACAGAGAGGTCGTTTAAGTCGTTTAAGTGAGTGAGCTGTAGAGACAAGATGTGGGCCCAGGCCCTCTGGCCCCAGAGTTCATGGTCCTAGCAATTCTGCTATGCTTCAGTGTTAAATATGATCACAGGTAATGCATGGCTAAAGCTGCAGGAATTGGGATTGGTAACACTCTCTTTTTTATTTTTATTTTTTGAAATGGAGTCTTGCTCTGTTGTCCAGGCTGGAGTGCAGTGGCACAATCTTGGCTCACTACAACCTCCTCCTCCCGGGTTCAGGTGATTCTCCTGCCTCAGCATCCTGAGTAGCTGGGATTACAGGTGCCTACCACCACGCCCAGCTAATTTTTGTATTTTTAGTAGAAACGGGGTTTCACCATGTTGGTCAGGCTGGTCTCGAACTCCCGACCTTGTGATCCACCTGCCTCAGCCTTCCAAAGTGCAGGGATATGGCGTGAGCCACCGTGCCCGGCCGGTATCACTATCTTACTACCATCCGCATCCCACTCAACTCTGAGGACAGACCGAGGCCAAGGGCAAGCTAGAACCCACTCCCTGGTCACATCTACTCTTCCGACAGCTCTCAACTTCCCTGTATATGGCAGAATTCGAACAGAGAGTAAAAAAATGAATAGTTTTAGTTTACAAGGTCCTTGGTCATCTACTGGATGATACTACATGATACACACCCCACATCTTGTGACTGGAAAATGTATGTATATACACATACATAACCACAGAGGAAAATGTTCCTGCCATAACACTTTTTTAGAAACTAGGTGTGTTGCATTTACCTCTCCAGACCTTCTCCCAGCTCCTCTCCCACCCTGTTCTATGCTTTGAGCACCACGGCTTTCTACCTCCTGGCTTCTGGTTGGGTCTGTCTAGTGGGAGGAACCTATCAGAGATCGCAGGGTGGGAAGAGAGACACTTGAGAGGCGGAACAGCTAATGCTACTCCCTGGGGATCCCCCAGCCTTTGTTGGGTCCCCTGATGCTGCCCACACCTGTGCCGACAGTTCCGTCCTTTGACCTCCACACTCCCAGATTTGAAAGCTCCCCCTGTTCCTTACTGGAACTCTGGCTGATGCAGCAGGAATCTAAATGGTATTTATGACCACAGTTATCTAAAACACCAAATTCCAAAAGGAAATACACCAGTACATATTCTAGAAAGTGTCTCCCCGCTCTGCTTTCTTTTAACCTTGTTTTCAAACTTTGGGCAACTACTTTTGTAATTTTTTTAAAAGGCAATAAAAAAGAAGAGGCCTGTTTCTGCCTGCTGAGAGGCAGGATACTTTGTGGAGGTAGTGATTATGAGCCTGGATCTGGGAGGCAGACAGACCTGGCTCCAGGTTCTGCTACCTACTAGCTGTATGGCCTTCAAGTTGCCTCTCTGAGCTTTAGTTCCATCCTGGTTAAATGAGGGCGATTACTGTAACTGCTTCACTGGGTTTTGATGATGATAAAATAAAATAACATACACTAGGGTTTACCACAGTCCCTGGCACACAAACATCCTTGCTTAGTAAGTGGTAACTACTGTGATATAATCATTATCATGGGAAGCTAAGCAGGAGCTGTTTGCTCTAAAGAAAGTGACTGGGATTCTTTTTCCCATTTTGCAGCAAAAGAGGCATCAGAGACAGAGCCATGGAGGACAGTAGCTGTCTGGCAGTTCCACAGGCAGCTCCTCAATTGGGCAGTACCTTGAGTTGGTCCTGGGGCATGAGCCGTCCTGCCTGTATCAGTCTTTCAAAGGACTCCACCTGGACATTGGGAGGGGAAAGAAATATGCTCCATTAATCCAGTCCTGCAGACTCCCACACCCAGCCACATCCATGCTTTGGTAAGAGGAGTTGCGTCTGTCCTCAGGATGTGGGGTTTCTGCCAAGCATGGAGAGGTGGGTGCTGGGAACAGCCTCTACCACCAGCCCCAGGCATGGCAGCCTTGAGAAAAATCAATGTGGAACCTGCTGGATTTTACTGACGACAGAGAAACTCACTCATGTGCATGAAGCCTAATGAGCCAGAATATTTAGTGCAGCACCAACAGTAGGGAGGGGACAAGAAACAGCCTAAATGCCTGTCTGTGGAATAGTATGCAGCCATCAACATGAGGAAGGCACGTGCCTATGTTCTGAGCTATTAATACCTCCAAGACCTGCTTTTCGGTGTCAAATCAAGGTATAGGGCAATGTGTATGGTATGCGGCCATCTGTATAAAATACGTAGAGAATAAAAAGGAAAACTAAAAATACATTTGCTTATATATGACACACTATCTCTAGAGGGCTTCAAGAAACTAAAATATTGTTTCTTAACAGTTAATTTATTTAATTATTACTTAATAATTAATTTATTAACAATTAAACATTCATCGTTCAGGAGAACTGGGTGGCTGGAAGACAGGGATGAGAAGTAGATTTTTCTACTACATGTCCTCTGATTCCTTTGTACTGTGAACAATGTGAATTCATTGCCTGCCCAAAAATAAATTTCAAATTTAGGAGTTCAAAAAGTCAAGGTACAGTAGCTTATGCAACCATTTCTATAAATGCGAGTGTGTGCAGTGAACGTTTTTGCATGGGTTGGAGAAAAGATTTAGTTTTTGCTCAACATGCCCTCTGTGCTGTGCAAGGGTCCTTATCACGGGGTTCTATTACCTGCTCCAAACAAAAAACCAAAAAACGTTTAATTGGAAAAAAGGCAAGGGAGGCTGCATGTGGTGGCTCGCGCCTGTAACCCCAGCACTTTGGGAGGCTGAGGTGGGCGGATCACAAGGTTAAGAGATGGAGACCGTCCTGGCCAACATGGTGAAATCCCATCTCCATTAAAAATACAAAAAAATTAGCTGAGCGTGGTGGTGTGTGCCTGTAGTACCAGCTACTTGGGAGGCTGAGGCAGGAGAATTGCTTGAAACCAGAAAATGGAAGTTATAGTGAGCCGAGATTGCGCCACTGCACTCCAGCCTGGTGATAGAGCGAGGAAAGGGGCGATTTGAGGTTGTTTTAAGAATGATCTAGATCAGCATGAAATGTAATATAGAAATGTATATAATATAATCATATTTTATATAATGCATATAATATGTAAAATAGAAATACAGTGTGAGCTACACACGTCATTTATAATTTTCTCAGCACCACCCTGAGAATGTAAAAAGAAACAGGTAAAATTAATTTTAATAATATATTTTATTTATTGAAATTATCATTATAATGATATCACTTCAACGTGTGATCATTTCAACATGTAATCAATATAAAAAAATAGGGAGATATTTTATATACTTTTTTCTAAGTCTCTGAAATCTGGTATGTGTTTTATACCCACAGCACACCTCAATTCAGAGCAGATGATGTCAAGTACTCAACAGCCACATGTGGCCAGTGGCTTCGGAATTGGACCATGCAGCCCTAGATCATGAGGGTTCAGCTAAGGCCCTAGCTCCTGGTCAGTGTGATGATTTGACATCACTTTATTTTCTGGACAATAGGTAAGACGAAGAAGAAATGTGTCTCCAGCTATGGAACCAAGTATGGTGGTGGCAAAAAGATATGAAGTCTATAATCCCAGTAGTTTGGGAGGCCGAGGCGAGTGGATTACCTGAGGACAGAAGTTCGAGACCAGCCTGGCCAACATGGTAAAACCCCCGTCTCTACTAAAAACACAAAAATTAGCCAGGTGTGGTGACTCACATCTGTAATCCCAGCTCCTAGGGAGGCTAAGGCAGGAGAAACGCTTGAACCTGGGAGGTGGGGGTTACAGTGAGCCGAGATGGCGCCACTGCACTCCAGCCTGGGCAACAGAGAGAGTCTCTGTCTCAAAAAAAAAAAAAAGAAATGAAGTACTTGTATGTATGTGGTGTTCCAACGTGGATGAACTTTGAAAACATGGCAAGTGATGGACGTCAGACACAGGACAGATATTGCATTAATCTATTGCTATGAAATGTCAACAGTAGGCAAGCCCATAAAGACAGGAAGCAGATGAGCAGTTGCTAGAGGCTGGGGGAAGAGGGAATGGGGAGTGGCTGCCTAATAGAGATGAGGTTTCTTAGTGGATGAAAATGTTCTAAAATTGATTGTGGTGATGGTGGCAGAACTATGAAGATACTAAAAACCACTGAAGCAAGCATACACTTTAAGTGAATCAATTGCATGGTATGTGAATTACATTTCAATAAAGCAAAGGAGGGGAGGGGAAAGGGGAGGGCAGGGGAGAAGGGAAGGGTGGAGAGAAAAGGGGAGGAGAGGGAAGATGGGGAGGAGAGGGGAAGAGAAAGCAGTAGAGGGGAAAGGAGAGGAGAGGAGGGGAAGGGAGAGGAGGGGAGGGAAGGGAAGGGAAGAAGAATAGCATGGTGGGGCTTCTCTGAAATAATTTGTTTTATGGACATGGTGGTGTGTGTAACTATGGCATTTCTCTTTTTGCATTGGCAGCTCGGAAGATCAAAGGTAAATGTGCGACTCTAATGTGCTTAAAGTCCAGCAGAACATTTTATTTACTCACTTCACATACTTTATTTTTTTTTTTCTACCCTTACTTCCTCTCTGCCCCCGTTTCCTTGCTTCTGTTTTCAGAATGGGGTTAAAACGTATGTATTTTCATAAGGTACTTTAAAGAACTTCTAGAATAAAGCCAATGTACAGTTATAAACAGACCTGCAAACAATCCACAGTTACTTGGACTGTTGGATGGAGATACAAAGACCCTTGAGAAGTAACTGAGAATTGATTTATTTAATAAAATGAACTAAGAAAGTGAGGCAACTTATCCTGAAGAGGAAAAGGCAGAGTGGAGATTCTGTTACCCTTCCGGAACCCTGCAAGAGCTTAGAGTCTCCTGGGAATCACCCTAGAGACACTTTTAAGCACAACTGGAGGGACTTTGATGAGACGCATCGCCAAAAGGGGCGTTAAACCTAGCACTGGTGACAAGGAGGAGCTGGAGCTGTGTGGCCTCTAAAACCAGGGAGGGGTTCATGTTTTGGGGACAGCTGAGTTAACTTGGTGCAGAGGCAGGGGAATGATGAGGGAGGCTCCCAGAGCGCCTCTCACCCAAGCAGGCAGAGGTTCTGTGTTCTCCAGGTGGGTTAAGTCTCTCGGGGGCAAAGCTGGGAGTCCACTCACCTTGGCCAGGAACTGTCGGGCCTGAGAAGCCAGTGCCTGGGTCTGCTCTGCTGAGGACTGGTCCTTGGAGACGCCCCCGTTCTCTGGAAGCCACCCTAGGTTGGGCTTGCTGGTGGGCGAGGAGGGGCTCAGGTCTCCTCGAGCTGATGGCCACCCTGGAATACACAAACGCTGAAAGCAGGGGCCAAGAATAGTCCTTCCAGGGGCTAAAGGGCTGAGGCTGAAACTCAAGGCCAACACCTCCGTCATCAAGTTCCAGCTCAGTCATCATGTGCTATCTTCACATCAGCCCCAGGAAGTGGGCTGGGCAGAGCGTCGTCCCCCATTTACAGGGGAGAACAAGGCCTAGATCTGACCTAGGTCACATGGCTGGCAAGGGCAGAGCTATGCCAGGCCTCTGGGCTCCCAGTCAAGTGAGGCTCTCACACAGGGAGACGTGGGTTCAAGTCCAGACACCTCTCCTCCATAGCTGTGTGAGCTTCAGTGTGTCCTCACCTCTCCGAGCCTTGGTCCCCTTGACTGTCATGGGTGTGACAACAGTGTGAACCTCAACGGGCTGTTGTGGGGATTAACTGAGATCACATGTGTCAAGGCTTAGCGCAGGGCCTGGCTGAGATATGGGCTCCCCAGGGACAATGCTCCATGTTTTCAACTCACCCAGGATCACCAAGATGCCAAGTGGCAGGGCCAGGGCTGCCCCATGCTGCTGTGGCTCAAAACAGGATACTTTCTACATCTCTGACCCCCTTTGAGTCAAACTGTCCAGAGTGGGGCCTTGCCTCCCTCCTTCCCCTGGCCTGAGGCCAGTGCCATTCCCAGGGTGATGCAGTGGGCCCCACAGAGCAGAAGCCCAGGTAGGAGGGGCCTCCAACACACCTGTTCTCCGGGACTCACCTGAGGCCACAGAGGTCTGGGGGTCCTCAGCCGGGCCCGGCCACCACTCCGCTGAGCGGGGCTGTGGGATGGTGAAGGACAGGACCTTGGTCCCCTGCGGTACCATTCCTGTGTGGATGCTGCGGCTGGGCTGGGGTGGGTCAGAGAACAGGTTCACCTGTGGGAGTGGGGAGGCATGGCAGAGCCAAGTCAGGACAGGGACAAACCCACCCGAATGCCTCATCTTCATCCAGGAGCTCAACACACATGCCCTGCAGTAATAAACACCATCTTTCAGTGCAGCCCTTGGCTGGGTTAAACACAGGTGAAGAACTCCATGCCCTTTCATTTACTCTTAATGGCAGTCCTGAAAGGAAGACAAGGTGGGGACCCCAACGCCCCACTATATAGAAGAAAAAACCGAGATGCAGAGAGGTTATTAAGTCACTTACTCAAAATCTCCAGCTGACAAGTCCTTGGGTGAGGATTACAACACTGCTCTACCTGACCCCAACATCTGTGGTTCTACTATATTGTTTTTTGGGGGTTGGAGTTTCACTCTTGATGCTCAGGCTGGAGTGCAGTGGTGCAATCTCAGCTCACTGCAACCTCCGCCTCCTGGGTTCAAGGGATTCTCCTGCCCCAGCCTCCTGAGTAGCTGGGATTACAGGCATGCGCTACCATGCCTGGCTACTTTTGTATTTTTAGTAGAGACAGGGTTTCTCCATGTTGGTCAGGCTGGTCTCGAACTCCTAACCTCAGGTGATCCACCCACCTCAGCCTCCCAAACCACTGGGATTATAGGCGTGAGCCACTGCGCCCCGGCTGGTTCTACTATTAACAGTAACTCTTAATTAATAATGTGGGTTATAATTATATCATACTATACAATATAACATGTAATTATTTCTTAACGCATATAAACATTTCCAACAATTGTTACATTGAAAATAATAGCAGCTAACAGCTGTTCAAATGAATGAGTGAAACAGGAAACGAACAAACTGATCTGCCATTGGTAGCAGATCTCTCTCACTTGAGGGCAGATTTAACCTGGCCGTTGGTGAGGGAGCAGTCTGGAGTCAGGCAGATGACTAAGGAAGATTTTGAAGCTTGAAAGCAGGGGAAACCACATGCTGTTCAACCGCTTTGAGCAGAGTTTGGAGAGCTATGTTCTGCTTTTGTAAATAAGGTTTTATTGAATGTAGCCATGCCTATTTGTTTATGTGTTGTCTATGGCTGCTTTCACACTCTGGTGGCAGAGTTGAGTAGTTGTGACAGAGACTATATGCTCCAGAAAGCTAAAAATTTTCACAATCTGGCCCTTCACAGAGGAAGTTTGCCAACCGTGGCTTAGCATGTGGGCTTGCAGTCAGAGCCCACATGCTAAGTGGGCTGTCCGGTTTCTGCCATGGCAAACCTCCAAGTCCTAGTTGGCTTAATAACCTCTCTGTGCATGAAATAAGTGCCCTGACCACGACCCTGACATTCATCACCATCATCAGCAGCACCACTGTCATCAGCACCAGCATCATCACATCACCATCATCACCAGCATCATCACATCACCATCATCACTACCATCATCACACCACCATCATCACATCACCATCATCGCCAGCATCATCACATCACCATCATCGCCAGCATCATCACATCACCATCATCGCCAGCATCATCACATCACCATCATCACCACCATCATCACACCACCATCATCACACCACCATCATCACCACCATCATCACACCACCATCATCACACCACCATCAACACATCACCATCATCACCAGCATCATCACATCACCACCACCAGTTATCACCACCACCATCAGCAGCAGCAGCATTATAACCATCACCATCATCACCATCAGTATCCCCATTATCACCATCACCATCATCACCATCAGTATCCCAATCATCACCATCATCACCACCGCCACCATCATCACCATTTTTACCATCACCATCATCATCATCACCACCATCACCATTATCATCATCACCATCATTATCTGTACAGCCACCACGGAGACGGGTCCATGGAAAAGCTACGCCCTTAGAGGCACCTGCTCATCATGATGTCAGGGGGGTTATCTTAACTGCCCCCTGCTGCACAAGGTCAGAAACTGGCAGTTTAGGGTGGGTTTGGTGCAAGGGGCTCCCTGGTCCCCAAGCAAGCAGCCTCTCTTGCTTAAGCTGTATAGGTCCTGGCTGTGGCTGAAAAATCAACTCCAAGTGTGGCGTGGTCCCTGCTGCCTCCCCCTTTCGGGCCCAGCCTCTCCAGATGAGAACAAAGCTGGATTTTAATAATCCTGTCAGCCATCTGCTCAGACCCCCCTGTGGGGGCTTTCCTATCAGCACCCCTCTCCTGAGGTGACCCAAATCCCAGAGCAGGCCCAGCCCTCTGACATGTTTCCCTCCCCTGACCCCTCTCTCAGCCTCAGGCCCCACCTGGGGAGTGACAGGGAAAAGGGATGGGCCAGGGAAGCCAGTGGGATCCTTTGTTTCAGGGACCGTAAAGGAGTTTGAAGCAGAGAAGCCCAAAACCCGAGCAGATGCCCAGGCAGAGCAACGAGGCGGGGTGTGGGGGTGGAGGGGGCAGCTGCAGCTGCTCAGGCCTGGCCCTCCCAGGGTCCGTCTCCCTGGACACAGCCAGGGTGTCCTGGGTACTCCCCAAGGCTGGATTTGCTCCCTCGGGGGACTCTGTGAACGGTGAATCAGGATCCTGTGACGGGAGGACCAGCGAATTTGGGAAACATTGGGTTAAACAAATGAATATTCTCCGCACAGATGGATTTCTCTCAGCCTTTAAAATGCTAATGGACTTTATGAATGGGGCGGGCAGGCGGGGAGCAGGAAGAGAGAGGAAGACATTTCCCCAACTCATCTGCACACAGAAACCTCCCCAACCCCCATCCCCATCCGGTGGCTTCTGGGCCAATTTGTGGCCATCAGAACACACTGAAAAAAGGTGGTTTGGCATCATCTCCGTAATTCCTTCTGGGGCAGTCTCTGGTCACCTCGGCTCTTCTAGACCCCTCTGCAGCTGAGATGGAGGAACAGGGGCTAGGAGGAGGTGGCAACATGGTAGCTAACGCAGTGAGACCACCATAAGCCCTGGCCAGAGGCCAGCATAGAGAACAGAGCTCACCAGTGACTCCTGACCAGTCGTGGCTCCCCGCCCCACAGCCGGGCTCCCCGGTCCTGCCCCAACCCCGAGGCTGCAGACCCGGCGGAGGTCCTGGGCCAGCCTTCCTCAGCTGCAGATCCCGCCTCGCCCAAGTCCAGTTCTGCTAGAGCCTGGTGTCACTCATGGGCTTTAGAGCCAGGCTGCCGAGTTCCAACTCCTGCTCTGGCACCTACCTGTTGAGAGATCTTGGTCAAGTTACTTAACCTCTCTGTGCCTCAGCTTCCCCAACTGCAAATTATTTAGGACAGTGGTCTATAAACATCACCTATGACCATTCTTATTACTATAACTGTCATCAATCCGCCTCATCCCTGTTCTTCTCTCCACAGCCGGTGCCAGGGCCTGAGTGCCAGGGCTTACCTAGGCATGAGGAAAAGAACACCTGCTCTAGAATCAGGTAGATGGAGGTTTCGGTCCCAGCTTTGTCTCTTGCACCAGCTGTGGGACATTGAGCAAATCATTCCACCTGGCTGAGCCTCAGTGTCTGTGTGGAGGGGCTCAAATAAGATGACCCCGAACCTGGGTAGGATGCCTGTTGCTGCTCAGTGAACATCAATCTCCTTCCTATGGGTCCCCATCCACTGCTGTCCACCTACCCACCATGCCTAGCCTGGGTGTCTAGTGCAACATCTACAGAGTGGCTCCCTCCCCCGTGGGCTCTGAGCAGAGTGAAGTCGCTTGGCGGGTCCTGGGGAGGTCTGAGGAGCAGGACTGCCTCTGTGAACTCGTGGGCTCTGAGCAGAAGGCCGTCCTGGGGTCTCTCCAGCTTTCAGGGTAGAGTGTGCAGAGGTCCAGATGGAGTAAGGAAGCCTGGCCAGCTGGAATCTCAGCTCTCCTCAAGCCCCAGGGACCTGGAGTGATTCCCCTCCCGCTCTGGGGCTCTGGGAGGCTCTGGGCAGCGAGGTGATAGTATCATCCTGCTTCAGGCAGAGCCCTGAACCGTGCTCACACTTCTTAAGACTGAGAGAAGGTTGGGGGAGGGAGGAGGGCCCTCCGACCAAGCAATTGTTTTTCCAGAAAGCGGGAGTGAGTGAGCTGGCACAGAACCAGTCCTGGCTCTCTCCTCCTGTGACATCCTCGCACACAGGAGCCAGGGGTCTGGATGCCAGCCCAGACTGGGTGACTACACATGGGGGGACCCTGAGTCCTACTGGGTCAAGAGAGCACCCACGAGCGGAGGCACCCTGGCTGCACTCCTCCATGTCCACCCCGCCTGTGTCACTGTGGTTGGTACACAGGGGCTTGCAGTAAGCACCTTTATAACAATAATATTCCCTAACTCTTATAAAGGGCTTGCCAAGCGCCAGGTAATTGCTTTCTGTATACTGATTCATGCCTTTTAAACGAGTGCAGGAGGAAGGAAAGAGGGAAGGAGGGAGGGCTGAGACGCTCCAAGCCTCCAGCCCCGGCCACTACTCGACCTTCAGCAGCCCCTACCCCAGCAGGAGCCCCAGTTTCCCAATCTGTCAAGTGGGGAAGCCCAAGCGTTTGGGTCTGATGACCAGTTCCTTTCTCCTCGGACCTACTTGGATTCTGCAGCCAAGAGAATGTGAATTCCCCAGAGAGGACGACCTAGCAAAGTCCCCTTCACTCCCCTTCCCGACGCCCCGTCTCTTACAACCCTGGATCTGGCCCAGCGGTTCAGAAAGCTGGAAGGAGCCTGCTTGGCTCCTAGGAGGAAGTTGATTAGCCAGCCCTCTTTTACAGATGTGCCCCACGAGGCCAAGGGGGAAAGGGCCTGCTTGTTCCAGGCGGCAGGTGTGGCGATGCAGAGGGGCTCCCGGTCCTGCAACAGCCCCCTACTTCTGCTTCCGCCCACCTGCCCTGGAAGTGCCTTTAGACACTGAGAGCAGCAGCTGTGGGGGCGGGGGGTGGGGTCCTGGAGC